GTGTCTGTAGTCTCAGCTGCTCGGGTGGCTGAGGTAGAAGGTTTGCCAGAGCCTAGGAGGTTGAGGCTGCTATGAGCCATGATTGTGTCACTGCACTCCAGTCTGGGTAACAGAAACCTCAACTTAAAAAAGAACAAAAAACATCCAATGAGCTAGTGAGAACCAACATTTTAAAATTTTTATTTTTATATTAAAAATAATATTATTTAATCAGGCAATACTTAATTCCATAAAATAGAATAAGTGCTCTCTAGAATTTTTGAACAGACCGATTTCATCTACTGCCCAGAAGCCATGAGAGGACACCGGTGTCTCTCTCCATGCTGCAGAACAGATTTAACTTCCAACCTAGGGAGGCTTTCTTAGCCTCGAGGCAAAACAAGTAAAGCCAGTAGAAAATGTTGAGCAGGTTGCACCATGTACAAGGATACGCAATTAAGAGGGCACAAGTCCAGGCTGAAATTCATTCTTCAGCTGCACTGGTGAGGTTGCAACATCCCAAAGAACAGTACTTTTCTCATTGTTCCACTGGAATGGACACCTCTCTGCAATTTGTCTGCCTCCAGGTGGCACACACATTTCGAATTAGTACAAAAACATTATATGAGCTAATGGTGGCCTTGAAAATTAATACAGAGTTTTTGGAGCCACTGGGTGTCCTGTGAAGGCTGGGACCATAAATAATCTGTCTGGCCTTGAGCCTTGGAGTCAAACAAACATTGATCTAAGCTATCTTTCCCTTCCAGTTGAAACATTGTGAAGACAGTGGTTCAGCGGCTCAGCAATAAATTCAAGAAAAGAGTGATCCACATTTTCTGAGTACCCACTAGTAATTGGAGGTGGCAGAAGAGTATTCACATTTGAGAGAGTAGCACGACACAATGGGGAAAAGCCTGAGCTTTAGAGTCGGAGAGAAGTCTGAATTCTTGTTTTGCCATTTATTTGCTGAGCAACTTGGGGTGAGTATTTAACTTCTCTGGGCTTCAGTGAGGATTCATCTATGATAACAGATGTAAAGAGCTAAGCACAGTACTGCCTGGCACACAGGAGCCATTAAGTTTCTCTGCCTTTTTCTGCTCTCACCCTGACTCCAAAGTTAATTCACACTATTCACATCCTTGGCCTTGAAACCTCACTCGGTAAAGCATAAGGCTGGGACTATTAGACAATGTTGGAGCAGGAGTTAGGAGGTGTGGGTCCTAGTGCCAGACATAGCCTTTGTTGTAGCACCTTAGGTAAATTACTCCCCTTTCCTTAACACATCAATAAAACAGAAGAACATCTTTAGCTCTGATGCTGAAAGAGCAGAGAAAGGCACTTTTCTTGGGTATCTGCCATCAGACATGTACTGTGCTAGGCCCTTTTACATACCTTATGTTCTCTAAATCACCACAGTCCAATTGAACTTTCTATGATGGTGGGAATGTTCTGTATCTGTGCTAATGTGGTAGCCACTAACCATAAGTCGCTATTAAGCCCTTGAAATAAGGCTAATGTAACTGAGGAACTAAATTTTGAATTTTACTTAAATTTAAATAGCCACATGTGACTAGTAGCTACCATACTGGATAGTGTGGCACTAAGATTATGTAGAAATCTATTCCCATTTAATGTATGGTGACCCAGAGACTTAGAAAAGTTAAAGAACTTGTTAAAAGTCACTTAACGAGTAATTGACTAAATCAAATTCAAAACCGAGGAGTAGAAAGCTTAGTAGGATAATATGGTCAGATATACCAGGAATTATCCAGGCTCCACTACTTATGTGACCAAAGAAGAATAATTAAAGACTCTAGAACTCACTTTCTTCATCTGTAAAATGATGATAATTGGCACTTAACTTATAGGTCTATTGTTGAAATTAATGGGTATAGAGTTATATGGAGTGTATGGTCCATAATAGTTTTTCAATAATTCTTGTTTCCTCATCACCCTGATTCCTCTTTAACATATAGAAGAGATTCAGACATAAACTTTAAAGGCAACTGCGGAGAAGAGAGAGCATTTGGAAGATAAAAAAGGAAACATGCATGGATCCTTATGTGATATCCTATTACAGAAGAGAGATGACGAAGGGTATGACTAAGAAAGCCATCAAAATATTTCCATTGACTTGGTTTGCTTTCCTGCCCTCTTCTTGACACTCCAGTCAAAATTAGTTAAAGCAGGGAACAAGACATCTGTAATGTATTTTGAGGCCCAGTAAGACAAGCTATTGTGGTTGAACAACAGAGTACTGTCATGGGCTTGGGCTAAAGACTGGTAAAGTTAAAATCCTGGCTCCCATACTTGTCATGTGCACTGGGAAAAGAACTGGATATTTGTACACATTAGTTTTTAATCTGTAAAGCAGGACTGATAACATGCAGGGCACCTGAAAACATACAAAGTGCGTCATTTATGATTTCACTTTACATTCTGCAGCACCCTCTAGTGGTGTGTACAAAAATAAGAATTGCATTTCTGCCCTTCAAAGTAGTGGTTATCAAACTTCATGTGTACTGGAATCACTGAAACAGTATTTAATCATTTATTCATTAATTTTTGAATAGGAGTCTCACTCTGTCACCCAGGCTGGAGTGCAGTAGCAAGCTCACAGCCACCACAGCCTCGACCTGCTGGGCTCAGGCAATCCTTCCAACTCAGCCTTCCAAGTAGCTGCAACCACAGGCATACACCACCATGCCCAACTAATTTTTTTTATTTTTGTAGAGACGAGGTCTCGCTTTGTTGCCCAGGATGGTCTCGAACTCCTGGGCTCAAGCAGTCCTCCCTGCTAGGCCTCTAAAAGTGCTGAGATTACAGAAGTGAATCACTGTGCCTGGTCAAAATTTCTGTTCTGTTATAGCAGTACAAATAGACTAAGACACCAGATGTTTGGTTTCTGGGCTCTTAGTACTTCCTGCTGTAATTATTTATTTTAAAGACCAGGTTTTGCCAGGCTGAACCCCTGGGTTCAGGTAATCCTCTTGCCTCTGCCTCCCAAAGTGCTGGGATTACAGGTGTGAGCCACCACACATGGTCACTGGAACAATTTGTAATAACACAGATTGCGCAACCCCAGCCCAAGAACTTCTGATTCAATAGGGTTGAGGTGGGACCTGAGAATCTGAATTTCTGACAATTTTCCAGGTGATGATGGAGCTTGTTCTACTTGGAAAACATTTTGAGAACCACTGCTCTGAAATACCCTCCCCTCATCATGTGTACAAGAATATGTGATTAATAACTCAAAGAGGTATGACTTTTGTTTAGTTTTGATTTAGTATTGCCCATTTAATAAAAGTTTTGTAAAGAATAGAATATCTATGTGAAGGACAGAATTTAAAATATAGAAGCAAACACAAAACTGAGGATCACAGAACATACATCATTTACCCAGGGTCATGGGTCTAGTGGAATAAAGTTTTTAATTGAGAGTTTACACTTGAGAGTGTCTGGCTCTCAAGACACAATAATGCTTAGCAGTACCACTGCAGAAAATAGAGCACAAACACACATACCTCATAAAAATTTCCAGAGAAAAAATAGATCAGTTTTCAATACGAGGATCCAAGTTTTACCTATGCGTTCTTATCTATCTTTACTGACTAAACAGCTCTCTGTATTTTCTGTTTGGGGGAATCGTGAGCCTTTGAAAAGAAGGTGAGCAAAAGGATCACCACCTGAGGTCATTCATTAATTCTTTGACTAAAAAAGGCCAGTACAAAAGGAGAGGGATGGAGATGGGAAATTTTTTTCAAGGAAAAAAAAGACACAAAAATATCTGGATCTTGGGTCATAGTGTCCTAATAGGGCTATTTACAGAAGTTGGTTTAATTTTTTCCTAAGAATTAAAGATATCCATGATCCCTACAGATTGGAGAGTTCAGCAGCAAATGGTGTGTGGGGGGGGGGCGGGAATCTCATTATCTCAGGGACCAATTAGCCAATGCTTTGTTGGGATTTGGCGGCATCTAGTGGCGGACTCGAGCGGTATAACCCTCAACCAAAGAATTTTCTGGAAAATGAACTGAGTGCGCATTTGCCTGGAGATGCACTGTGCTTATAGAGCAGGACGAAAAGGTAAGCGAGCCTCAGCTTCCACAGAAATTCGGAGTCCCTAGCGGAGGGGAAGGCTGTCTGCATAGATAATCTCACCAGAAAATTCTATTTGTGCCAGGAGACTTGCAGGCAACTTGGGGGAGGAGGGAGGGAGAAGCCGCCCCTTGGAGTCGCTTATGTGGAAATGGGAGGGTTTGGTTCGTAAACATCGGAGGGCTGTGGTTCAGAACAGGACTTTGGCACAGAGAAAAACGTAGAAAGTGTATTTCCAGGGTCTAAAATTAAATCAGTGGGAAAGACTAAGATATTTCTAACAAAGCCCCGTTATTTCTGCTATGGTCGCCTTGCCATCATGATTTATCTTCCTTCTCATTAGAGCGGTTGTCAAACATAATGCAGACATAGAGAACAACCTGTGCAGAGCAGCTCCTCCGCCCCTCCCCACTCCCTTCCCCCTCCTGCCTCCTCCCCACTCCCTTCCCCCTCCTGCCTCCTCCCCACTCCCTTCCCC